TCTAGTAGTCGGATCTGTCGGATGGCAAGAATCATTTCCATCATTAATATTGGTCTTGTATTAGAAATCCTTACATTGACCCCTATGTTCACAACTAAAAATTGACATCGCTCCACCACTAACTAAAAGATTTTTTTATATATACTTATATAAATTAAAAAGTATATTCTTGATTTAAACTATATAATTTGATTATAGCACATGGGAAGTGTGGACATTATGTCACTAACCCTCCTACTATAAACCAACATAAAACATTTTTACTAACCAGGAATATTTTTGAGATAGTCCTAAACTATTCAGAGGAAACAGGCGAACCTATGACCATCAATTGATGTATATACTATATACCAAGGCAAATCCTCTTATCATTTATCTAAAGAAATTAATCCATACTGACATACTTGGCTGACTTGCTTCAGGGGCAGCCAACACATACTCTTTTTCCTAGTAGTCTAGCAAAGAATCATCATCAATGACCTGGGGCATCCGTGACCTCAGCGTGAAGCATCGACAATGCTAATGTTGGTTAAAATTCATGAGGATCATCCTACCACAATATATTCTGAATCATAATGGATTTTGTATCTCAGGTGTCAAGCCACGACCAACTAAGCTATCATCCAATCAATATAAGGGGCATTAAGCATTATAAGGTTGTCGCTTGAATCAACAATTCTAGGTGAGATGATAAATGGGTCACTAGAAGGTGAGGATACCAAGCATTGCAAGCATGCCAAACTCTAGAGAATTATAAGAAAACCAAAGGTGTAGGATGCACATACACTACTAGAGAAAATCTTATACACAGAATCTTACCAGTAGCGCGTGTTAAAATGAGGCACTACTGCTAATTAGCAGTAGCGCGTCTGCCAAAACCGCGCTACTGTTACCCCCTTAGCAGTAGCGCGGCGGGAACTGAATGTGCTACTACTATAATTGCCACACCGTTCCCGACGTGCTAGGTATAGTAGTAGCACCCTTCTAGAAACGGCGCTACTACTACCGATTTTAGCAGTAGCGCTTTTTCCCTTCCCACGCTAATGTTAAATCTATTCTCACCTAACCCCCCGCACGGCCTGATTCCCTCATCTTCCTCCCCCAATTCACCACTCTCTCCCCTCGTCGCCTCCGCCTCGCCGCCGTCTCCCCCGACCCCGCCTCGCGGTCGTCTCCCCCGCCCCCGCCTCGCCGCCGTCTCCCCCGGCCCCGCCT